TAATACAATTTAAAGACAACTTTCTGATTGACAATTTGGTTTGGATCATTAAAAAGACCAGCTCAGTAGTATATTCCTTATACTGGAACCCATGGCATAAACCTTATTTAGGGAAGTCTGATAAAATTATTAAAAAAAAAAAAAACAAAAACTAATCTTTCTATTTCCTAGAAACTAGAACATCCGTAGACAAAAATTTTCAGTCTCTCAGAGTCTTTCAGCGTCTCTCTAACAGTCTCTCAGTTATTGTCTAGGTGTTTTTATGGATCTCTCAGTCTCTGTATGAGAGACTCGAACGATAAAATTGTTAATTCAGAGATTCGAGTCACTCACAGAGAGACTGAATGAATAAAACTGAAAAATTGAGAGACTCGAGTTTCTCGTAGAAAGACTGGGATCTCTAAAATATGTTGAACTTAGAAAATTGTAACCATGTCTATCGAGACACCACTTATTGAGTGGTTCGAATCTATCGTTCAGAGATCGGAGTCTCTCGTTTAGAGACTGGATACGAAATGAGGATCTCTCTATGAGCGACTCGAGTCTCTCATTCAGAGACGCTAAACAGTTTTTTTGACAGTCTCTCCCAGCGACACCTAAGAGACTCGATGAGAAACGGAGACTCGAATCTCGCTTTCAGAGACTCTAAGAGACTGGACATTTTTATCTCGGGATGTAGCATTTCTATTTGGAAATATTAAACTAATTATAAGTCTAATAACCTTGCCTCTTTTGACTCCTGTTTCTGCTTCTAATATGTCTCGATTAGTAAAAGCTCAAGTATTTTGAAACTCTATATCTCCTTCGACTTATTAAATTCCATAGTGTCCTCTCTTCTTATACTTTCAATTTTGTTTAGTTATTATTAATGTTGCCATTCCAAAAAGAAAACACTACTTAGTTCAAAGTACCAGTTTATCAGAAACCCAAGTCATTTTGATCACAAAATAAATTGAATATCTCCGGCTAGGACCGAGGGTCCTTACATCAGCCTACTAAACAATAATCCACACATATACCTATGGACGCATATTGGGTAGCACTGGTGGTAAAGTCGAGTTTCGAGAGCTTCCACTAACAAATCTAACTGTTATACAAAGCCCTCCAAACAATAGTTGACACTTCAATACGGCAAATATTTTGCTGCCGCATATATTCCATTCATTCTCTCGTCCCTTTCTCTCTCTCTATCCAATCGCGGAACAGAGTGGCCCGTTAGCTTTAGATAGATAGAGTGTATGTATGCTTACGTTATACATGGAAAAGAGTCGAGCAACACCGGAGGAAAGTTTGCATGCATGCATGCATGTACAGTTATAACACCCTCCTCTCGACTGCTACTATTATTATTAGCTATTATACCTACTGTAGGGGTACATGTACATCTTTGTCGCATGAGCAGCTGCTCGTGTCATTGCCACACAATGCACAAGGACTTTATGTTATACCTATTAAAATAGACTTAGCCATTGTGCTCCAAGTGGTACTATACTTCATTAAAATGTTTATGGGATTCATCGGATGAACCGCGGGAGGCCGGTCCTCTCTCTCGTTCGTACTTCATCCCTTAACAGTTTACACCAACGGATTATGATGATGCTCTCAGAATAACACTACGTATAAATATCGAATCGCTCATTAAATGATACCGACGTTAAGTGTATTACATTAGCTCGAAAACCATTAGTTAAGTTGTGCCAGTTAGTAAATAATTAAATAAACAATTAGCCAAATGCTTTTATTGTTGTAAGTAGAACATTTGGTTCTAAAAATGCCAGATGTAGGTAGAACAAACTAAAAAATTTGGATGTTTCGTTTCTATCTGCTACTCATGCTGGTAAACGGGCAGTCCCTCTGGACCACTCCGGAAGGCAGGGCGCAAGGTCTTCCTCAGTCTCCTTTTAGGAATAGTGCTGCGAATGGGTGGCAGGTGTTTAAAATACATACTACTGCTGTTCCAGCATTTGCCTAAGTGATCTGAAGAACCGTAGAAAAACTTGGACCAGAGCAGACGGACTCGGAATCGAACCCGCGTCCTCCCGAATGCTATGCAACAGTCTAAACCTTTAGGCCATGCCGCTTGGTTATGTAGATGACGATATCTAACTTATATAGTCTTCAAGAACGACCTATTGGTACAGAGTGGTACGGCCTACAGGTTTAGGCCTTTACTTAGCGTTCGGGAGGACGCGGGATCGATTCCGGATCTGTCCTGGCTAGTCCAAGTTTTTCTCTAGTTTCCTTGGAGCACTTAGGCTGATGCTGGGGTACTAATAAATAATATTCCACTGATGATAATCTTTCGCTTCTCTTCTATCTACGTTTCGTCCTTATATCTTTCTCGTCCACCTGCCAGGTGAAAACTAAAAAGGATCTTCACTCTATGAATGAATGAATCATCGATTAAACCAATGTTGGTCCACTTTTAAGAGGTTGATGAATATCAAAGAAATGGTAGTGTACCGCCATCTACAAATATTAACTGTTACCGTACTTTTATACCGAAAATGACTACAGAAGGATATAGATAAAATATATTGACACGTGAAATAACTTTCAATCGTCATATCTCACATCAAATGACACCAAACCACATCATTGTTAAATCTCTCAAAGTCGTATTGTACAAGATGACTCTTGCATACCTAATGTAGCTAGATATCATTATAGAAAATAATTACTTATAATAAATAATGACTGCTACAAAAAAAGAAAGATGACTGAAGTAATGAATTGGTCATTGAAAATAGAGATTGTGTCGTCACAAAAGGGGGTAGTAGTTTACTGTATATATTGTTCGATAGTAAGAGGGTGGTTGATGCGGAAGAAACGTCGTTTCTCGCCACGTGTATGGCGTGACGGCACGTGCTGCGGCCTCGCACTACGTTCGAAACTCATTAAAGAAGAACTTTTGAAATATTGGCCCTAAATTCGAAAGTTTCTGCCATAACGGAAGAGATCCGCGAACGCGGACTGCGATTCGCTACGGTTTATTGCGGCACTAAGCCGGGGCTAATGCCTCAAATAAAAGGGATTTACGCGTTATACTGCCAATGATCTAAAGCCATTCTTCCATTACTGTTTTAGTTGGTTGTGGAGGGCTAAAGAGCTTTTGGCCGCTGCTCACCACAGGGTCTTCTGATATACGCCTCCATTACAATTAGCTATTTCCCACTTACTTCATTATAAACCAAAAGATAGACCAATTGCATATTGTTCATTAAAAATTTCCATTAGGTACTGTTCGTTTCAAGAAGTTTCATATTTGTCTGCGTAGTTCATTCCTTCACCGATTATCGAGCGAGAGCTAGACAAAAGTGTACAGTACCATTTGCAAAATAATATAAACTGTCTCGTTAAAATTTAAGAATATGCTTTATTTAAAAGCATATTTAGCCAAAAATAATAACAAGTGAATTAACTTAATGCTCTACACATCTATAAAGCTTTTGCTTTGTTTTCTATTGTTAATTTATATACGTTTCTGTTTTAAGAAATTTCTAAACATTTTCGTCTAGTACTGTACAGTTCCCACCGAGAGCTCTGCTAGTTCAAGCTTGTTCCAACTATTTCTGTCTTGCTCACGCCTAGTGTATATTCTTTCTATCTTCGCGCAGATTTCTTCAAGGTCACAATTCAAACAAATTGAAATGGGCTGTACTTCGTTGTAATTTGTTCTTTAGCTTTCAAATATTTGCATGTCTGAAAGAACACCGGTTTTAAGAAAAATGTAGTTGAAAGTACAAACGAATGTAATTCCGGCCCTGGAAAGAAATGCGACAATGCAAGGTCGTATCCAATCAACTTTTTTACCTCTCTTTTGTGTTCTTAATAACATGTTGTGTATGTTTATTGTTTATTTAATTAATTTTATAAAATATTGTTGTGTGTAGTAGCGTGGTAGTAAGCTGTTGATGTTTACGTTACGATCCACAACCGTCACTGTTTACGTTCTTCATCAGCAAAGCAGTTTAATTGTTATCGCAATCGTGTGAAATGTGAATCTTCAACCACGTCTATTTGAAAATATCACCTTCTTCTCTAAAAATTGTCCTGAACTAAACGAAGTCTCAAAATCTTTTGAACAAAGCGTAAGACATTTTAAATGCCTTAAATTGCATTTATGTTCGAATTTCTATCTGTAGCGTACAGTCACACAGTCAGGCAAATTCTTCGTTTCTATTATATTACAATAATAATTTAGCATCGACGAAGAAGACGCTTTAAAACGTTAATTATGATATAGTGGAATAGCGTGATGCTAGCGGTCGCATAAATCCTCACGGATCTTTACAGATAGGCATGTCGTTTGAATTGTGCACGTAAGTTGTCACTGTGAATCGGGTCTCATAAATAAACAACAAGTTGGTTGCAGCCGCTCTTTCCGCAGGATATTCTAAATTATCAACGAGAACACACCACATAATTCAGAAAGCTCTTGAAATTTTCCGACTATGAAGGATGATAGCCTCCTCATACGTATTAGACATCGCTCTCGATCCGTTTCAGTCTTTTTTCTTTGATGGTACTCAGGACTTGACAAAGAAGGATCAAAGCTAGAGATGGGCTTGGTAGCCGGTTTAGAGCAAAATTATTATCCTGTCTATCTCTAGTTAAAACATTTAGATGGTCGAAATCGTTGTAGTTACCTGAAAATTCGTCATATCATTTTAAATAAGGCCTAAGTCATTACTTTTTAAAATGTACTACCTGTAGACGTATTTCTCCTATTTCTGCTTCCAATATGTACAGAGCCGTACTCAAAACATTTCTAAATTAGCCGATCGCTAGCACAGAACTGACAAAGGGCATAAGCTGTGATTTCTTTTACGAAAACTAGCTATGATGAGCATTATTATTATATCTATGCTTGTAAAGCTTTTGATAATGTTTAGAAATTTATTGTTTTGATCTTTTCCTCTATGACTTATACTCAAATTTCGAGATCTATGGAATAAATTTTTTTTTTGTTTACTAAGGATTACGCATTTTCTTTCCAGGATAGTAAGGAATAAGGCGGCAGAAAAAGCGAAGCATGTCCACCAAGTGTCCGTTAGTGGCGCTGGTGGTGGTGGCGGTAGCGGAGGCCCCGTTTCGGTCATCGCCCATGCACCTTCAACGCAGCTTTCCGAACCCAGGACGGGAGCGTATAGTATAAATGGCATACTGGGCTTACAACACGACCCCAACGGAAATAGCATAAAAAGGAAACGATTAGAGGACCATGGTAAGTCTTTTTTATCGAATTGTATTGACATTTGTATGTATGTACTTATTTTTATCAAGGGTAGTTTTTATAACCTATCGATAGAAACGTAAAACAGTGAAAAATTGACTTATCTTGTCAGTTGTTATTCACAATAAATTGTTATGGTGTATTTATTTTTTGAAGGGACCACAACAAATTTAATAAATACCAACGGAGTCACCCATTTGTTTGCGCAAGAGTTTGGGCCTTGTTCATCGAAAGCCTGTATATTTATTTAATAATTGGCGTTCTAATTTAAACTCTCAACATCAAGTGATCTAATAATGAGAGGGTTGTTTGTTGCGGCGCCTGCGGCTAATTTGTCCGTGTAACCTAAAATTGATGATGGTACACAGCGAGAGTTCTGTCCTTTAGCAAACGCGTAACTTGCCTCCCAAAATAGCGGACTACCGCCTTGCTTCGCTCAATCTCTGGTTACACATGTTACTACCTATATACCTGATGGTGGTGTAAACATAGTCGCGGTTCAATGATAAAGGACTTGTAAACAACACCTTCACAGGCATACAAAAATATCAAATATTTAGGTCTTCAAGATAATTAAAACAAAAAACAGGAAACTTTAGGTCAGTAGGTGTACATTTTAAAGCGATGTACTATTAAACATTTCTCCTTAAATTGAAATGGAAAGGAACGTCAAAATTTACATAATTTTTTCATAATCTTTTTAAATTCAAATTATATTATAAATGCAAATGTGAATGCGTTTGTTTGTTACCATTTTACGCCTGAACTACTGAAGAGATCATCATAAAATTTTGTACACACATTGTCAGGGGTCCAGAAAAGGACATAGGGTACCTTTTATCGAGAAAAGATATATTGTTTCCGAGGAATAGAAAAATTAGTTTTATGTGATCGTCGATAATGTTTGACACGTATTTAGGGCATCAACGCGATCGAAACTCCAGATAAAACCTATCATTAAATTTTGTACACACTTTGTCAAGGGTACATTATCCAGAAAAAAAAATTATTCCTGAGGGACAAAAAAAAATTAGTTTTATGTGATCATCGACGTGCATTAGAGGCCATCTTGTTAATAAATCGGGTTCAGTATTAGCTTCCAATGTTCAAAAAAGTGCCCACAAAGATTATCATCGAGTACTATAGAAATGTTTTGTTAAATTTGACGCCTTTCCTTCATGTGCAATAGTTTTTGTGGTTTAAATAACTCGCTGGTTCCAATTAGGTTTATTACAATCCCCCATTGCATTTGCCGGGTTGCAGGTCGGACTTGGTGGAATTGTCGTGCACGGCACAGCCTCCCCCGTTGATAATGTAATCTCTTCAATATTGCGGGATTATAAGCAATCTTTGGCTTATCGGTCCGATCGTGGGGTTTCACCGCCGCGGTCGCTAAGCAACGAACGGAACGATTTGATGTCTTCATAAGCCACCACGGGCGCTGATTGGTCGAACATTCGAGGGTGCGATGCTCGTTTCACGCTAACCCGATTTGCACTAAAACATCAGTTCCCAACAATTTCCACTTGCTGATTCCGACATACAAAAAAATGCAATTCAATGAAATATACACGGGTGTAACAAGTACATGTAAATAATCTCTGGTTCTAATTGCGAAAGAACATCATATATGAATAAGTTCGATATTAAGTCAGGAGAGGGTATAATAGATCAATAATTAATGGTGTAATTAAGACAATAATCTAATAATATGATATTTTAACTGAATTTCCGTGAACCAAAACCGTTAGCAATCCTGAATCCGATCCTGCTCATAGAAAGTCAGATTATTCCTGTTTACAACAGTTAAAATTCCATCAAAATTTGTGAAGCAGTTCAAAAGTTATCGAAAAACAGATGCTTCCATGATGCACATCGTTCTTCATCATACGAGGGTGGATTGATAAGTTTCCGGCCTAACCAAGAGATGACGCCACTAGGCCTACCTTGAGGTGACATTCTATAGTACCATTCTTGGATAGCTTGTAGCTATAGTTTCAGCCCGATCTCCTTGCTAGTGTAGGTTTGACAGCACGCTGAACAAGACGCCTCTGTGGTTTTCGTAAAAATGGAAAAGCAGGAAAATCGTGCTGTCATCAAATACTTTTATTTGAAGGGGTTAACGCCGAAGGAAATTAAAAAAGAGATGGACTCAACACTGGGGACATCCTCCCCGTCATATTCAACCGTTAAGCAGTGGGTTTCCGAGTTTAAAAAGGGTCGTGTGAGCACCTCTGATGGGCCTCGCTCAGGACGCCCCGTTGAGGTCACAACTCCAGATATGATCGAAAAAATTCATCAAATAGTGCTGGGAGACCGCAGATTGAAAGTGCGTGAGATAGCTGAGACCTGTAAGATGTCATATGAACGTGTGCAACATATTTTGCACCAACATTTGCATATGGAAAAGCTCTGTGCAAGATGGGTGCCGCGTTTGCTAACAGTCGACCAAAAATTGATTCGAAAAAACATTTCTACCGCAAATTTGTCATTGTATAAGCGTAATCCAAGCGAATTTTTGCGTCGATTCGTAACCGTTGACGAAACGTGGGTCCACCACTACACTCCTGAAACCAAAGAACAGTCTAAACAGTGGATTGGACCAGGGGAACCAACTCCAAAGAAGGCAAAAACAATTTTTTCGGCGAACAAGGTTATGGCTACTGTTTTTTGGGATGCAAGAGGTATTATATACATTGATTACCTTGCAAAGGGTAATACTATCACTGGTCAATACTACGCAGACTTATTGCAACGTTTGAGCCACGAGGTGAAAATTAAACGACCTCATCTGGCGAAGAAAAAAATCTTGTTTCATCACGATAACGCACCAGCGCACACGTCAATCGTTGCGACGGCTAAAATCAACGATCTAAAGTTTGAATTGATGCCGCACCCTCCTTACTCTCCAGACCTAGCCCCGAGTGACTATTTTCTGTTCCCTAATCTCAAAAAATGGCTTGGCGGTAAGAGATTTGCGGACAATGAAGAAGTAATCGAAGCTGTAAATGGTTATTTTGAGGAGCTTGACGAATCAGTCTATAGAGATGGCATTAATAGACTGGAACACCGCTATGAGAAATGTATCAGCCTTGGAGGAGATTATGTTGAGAAATAAAAAAAAAAAATTTTTAAAAACCTTGTTTTTCTTGGTCAGGCCGGAAACTTATCAATCCACCCTCGTACATCTCCATCTCGTGAGGTTACAATATTATTGAAACTAGTTTATAAGCCTGAAGAAATGATTTTCTATAAAATAGTATCATAGGCCACATCAGAATTGATACAGTGGTCCATGAGTTTCAAGACAGAAACCACAATTTTCTTTTAATTGTTTGGAATATGAATTTTCAAATTTGTTTTTATAATTTACTGAAACAACTTATGTCTACGACATAGAATATTATATAATAATATTTTATATAGGATAGGAGGTATACTTCTTAGCGATGAAATTACTTTCTTGTTGTACCGCTGAGCTTTTAAATGTCACCAACCTCGTCAAAGGTGAAAAGGCACCGCCTGAACTTTTATGCTTTCGAAGAAAATCAAAAGGGGGAGAAACTCGACGAGACAAAAAGAGTCAATATAAAAGTTCTCTCGAGTACTTTGCAAATAAAATATGTCAGCCATGTGGAAGCTATAAAGTTGCAAAAATCAGGGAAAATGTAAACACTTCCATGCGAATACAGCCGACTTCTCTTACTAGGATTAAAATAAAAGTAGAATTGGCGAGAAGAATAGGATAAGTGTGAAATTAGCTTGTTTTTCTTCTTTAATCAACAACATTAAAATTAATATTTGAAATTGTAGACTCGTTTGGCACTTGGTGAAAAATTTTTATAAAAAAAAAGTAAAGGAATTAAAACACTTGGCAAGTTTCACAATGTTCATTTTTTTTTCTGACGATCGTCAGAGAAATAAACGAACATTGTGAAACTTGCCAAGTGTTTTAATTCCTTTACTTTATTTTTATTAAAATTAATAGTATCTAATACAATTTTATTTTGGTCACAATTTTCCGAAATGTGAAACAAAAGCTGCCCAACAAACAAGGTATCATCTGGATCTTCTGATTTTCATTCTGAAAACGTCCCTAATTTTGGTAACTTTGTTTGACCACATTTTATCGTAAGTCATCATGTATTAAAATCAGCAAAGGATTTATCCCTCTTTGGAAAATTTTTCGTGAAACTTGGTGGCTTTTAGTATAGGCAAGAAATTAATTGTCATCAGATAATAATTATTCAAAATCACACACTGATGTGACGTTATCAATAAACACACATAATACGTACTGATACACACACATGAACGTGTGCAGGAGCGAGTGAGAAGCTACCGGGAAATCAATATGTCGAGCAAGAATTATCTGAGCGATTGGCAGCAAGCAGGGCTGTGTTATTGCGATTATATTGACTGGTCCGTAGGGAGAAACGAGGGTACTACCACTACCATACACGTACAACCATTTCAAATAAATCGACGAATGTTCCTGTGTGTGTATAAATGTGTGTTATGTGTGTGTGTGTACGGGAATATAAGGGAAGTCGAATATTGTTACGTTTGCGTCTACATCCAGTCGATGGCCCGTCCATTCTGATGTCCTTTGACCGATTAAATTTGATTTTGTTTGCATCATTACGTGTGTATTCCATACACTTCATTTACTCGCAAAGAGGGCCAATAGTTACGGACTTCTAAATCATATAAAATAATCTGTTCAACATGAACTAAGAAAGATGCTTTACATAGCCTAAAGCGAGTTTAGATTTCATGGACGTTTGTTTATAATAAACTGGTTTTATTTTAATAATTAATAAACCCCAAATTGTCACATTTCAATTTTATCTAAATAAACTAACACAATTTGTAAACTCTTCACCATTTCTTTTGCTGAAACGACAATTATTTAAGGTTATTTGAATATTGAGAGAGTAATACTAAAATAGCCGATGAAGACCATTGTTGCCTCAATAAAAAACTTTTGT